TAATGCTTAAAAAAATACCATCAACAAACACGGTACAATAACACAAAAAACTTAGATATTTTCAATAATAGCTTGTAAATTTACACTTTTTATCAAAAAAAAAAAAAAAATAGAGCAACAATCAGCAAAGTAGAAGCAGCATCAGTGTCCAGCAATGACAAACATCAACGCCCTACTACAATAGTGGAAAATCTAGGAGCATTAAAACATCTTGCTTTCTCCGACAAGCGGCACAGCACGAACTTTTTCAATTTCAGCAAGCAGGCGCTTTCTTCGTCTTGAGATTACATCATTATAAGTCCAAAATTTAACTCACTACATTTCAAGAGAAGCATGTTTACATACAGTAAAATAAGTATGTGCCAATGTAATAGAGTTTTTCTCATGGAGGAGCATATAGTACACTAAGGAAAAAAAAAAAATCCAAAGTACTTCCATGCAAAGAAGTTAGGCTCTGAGCTCCTCTAAAGTGTGATTTCAACAAGTACACTTGTTTCAGGGCTAACATTAATTACACAATTATAATAGCCAGAACTAATGTGACATATCAAAAAGAAATAGTGATTTTTATACCCTGATCTAACACAAATCATGGTTTATAGGTCGAAAGACTAGAAACAACAGGGCAAGTATGATGCTCTATATGATTTAATGATTTATCATTGTTAACAAAGTAATATGCATTGCAACCTTCACTAACAAATAGAACCCTTCACAAGACTAGTAACGTATAGCCAAGTTCAAAACGTTTTAGTAAAATCCGATTTAAGAAGAAGAAAACCTTCACCGTTAGGGTCAAGCACGGTTTCTCTCCTATATTAAGTAGTAGTGCAAATTAGAATGCTTTCAAGTACAGACCAATGATTATAATCAAGCTCAAAAAGTTGTAAGCTAAGATGAAAAGAGCTTAGACATAGACCTCAATAACTTCTAAAGGGTCAAAACTATAACAAAAATGTTTTCATGATTTCATCAGTTTGCAAGAAAGAGGGAGTGAACAAGATTGAAAAAAAAAAGAGAGAGAGCAATTACATCCACACCCTAAAGAGAAAGATACCCCTAATTAACTCAACAGATATGATACGTAAATGGCAGTCATCTATTGTGGTGAAACATTTGATTCAATTTAACGAAACGAGGATCAAAATAATTAAATTGTATTCTACTGATTTACATTTTCAAGTCCATATATTTTGGTTCCTAGATACTCTAAATTAAAATGCTCTAAATGTACATTACAAAATATCAATTTCTACTTAGTCAATTTCCGAGAACTTCTATTTATAAATAATATATACCAGAATCTAAGAAGAAAGAACGAGAAAGCTTAGGCAACATGTATTTGTACCTATCTACTGTTCAGTTCTTGTTTCTAGCCCAAGTAGCAAATATCATACTTCTCTATGATTCCATTTAGTCAGGCTAAAGAACCACTTTCACTGTCTAGAACTATAGACAATTAGAGAAGGAGCTAAATGATAGTTCATGCAGTCATCCATTCAGCCAAATTGCTATTAATAAGTGGAAAACATGAGGTTTCATAATAGACATGGCAGTCATCTATTTTTAAGACATGGAAGTTAAAAAAGATGATAAATTTTGAAAATCTTCTTTTTCCAAAATCAGATAAACGTTTAGGAACTACCTCGTTTTTCTCATTAGTTTTGGTTACCTCAAAATCACCAGACTCAATGACGCGCCAAACTTGGTAATTTTCAGTCTTGATGAAAATCTTCATCCTGTTCTTCCAGTAGGTGTAGAACTTATCATTGAACATAGGTGGACGTTCGGTAGAGTACCCTTCTTCAAACATCTCTCGATAATTCATCTCTCCTCAGGAACTTACACAACAAAGGTATTCATTTATACGCGAGAACCAAAGCTCTGATACCAATTGTTAGTTGAGACGAACTCTACAAGGGGGGGTGAATTGTAAGTGAGTTCCCAGTGACTACTTTTGGGCGTAATTAAACAAAATAATAAAGGAACTTGCAATGCACATAGGATTTTATGAGCAAACCTTCCAAGGCTCAATTGTAAGTAAAACCTCGACCCTCCAAGGGATTTCACACAAAACCAATCCACTATAACAGGGCAAACACACCTAGCTACAACCTATTAAACACAGACCTTTACTCACAAGTTCTAGACTGAACTTGCTACACAGTAGAACCCTATTCTACCCAACCTAAGTCCCTGACTTAGATTCACTCAGCACTCTCAGAGTACTCACACACTCAGCTTCAACTTTGAAGCCTACAATCTGTATGCAATATGCTAAACACTCACCCTAATACCAAAACAATACAAACTATTGACTCTAATATGTGATTGGAAAGCTACACATGAAATCCGAAACTCATATGACAAAGTTTAGACTTGGCAAACTTAAACTCATAAGTTGTGCAAATTATGAATTCTACTTTATATACAAGTTGTACTCGTATGTGAAGTAGGGTTTTCAAAAGATAGAAATTAATAAACTACCGTTTTCATAATCACAACACTTAAGTAAATCTTTTAGAAGAAAATCTTTTAGAAAACTTAACAAAGATATAATTTTAGAAAAGAATAATATTTTGTAAAACCCGGATTTTATAAGATAAAATCTTTCAAAAATCTTTTCATAAAATTAAAACTTATGTTTTATAAACTTTCCATATTTAATAGCTTGCCAAGCTTTGCCACGCTTCTAATAGATTTCATGCATAATCTTACCTAACATATTTACAACAATCCTTAGTAAAATAAACTTAACAAAAAGACTTTTATTCTATAACTGGATTGTCTCATCAATCATTGTATTGTAAGGATACTTGGGCTTCACGCAGACCAGGACTAAATTCCTGCTGTCTTCAACTCTCCAGCTTCATGCTGGAACTCGCAGTCCAAGTTCTTGTGGAACTTGCTGTCTTCAGCGCAGTCTAAACTGATCTTCTCAGCTTGCTGTCAAGCTCCTGTTAGTGAACTTTTTTTTGTGTTCCTGTTAGGGATCACAGCTAGTTCCAGTGAGGAACTCTTCTTCTACTTTCTTTAACTTTCCTTTAAATCTTCTTGAGTCTTCATGAATAAGTTACTCTTCCACTTCCAAAGTCAACTTCACCTATTCTAATCAAACACTTAGAGAAAACGCATTAGTTGAAGTTTGCTTTTATTCATCATCATCAAAACTCTTAAGCTTCAACTATATTCATCATGTATATATATGACATGGGCTAATGAAATGGAAGATGAACCCATTACAATCTATATCTTTCTCCAATATTTTCTCTTCCTTTATTCCTTATTTTATAACAATTATATTGTTGTTATTGATTTGTATACTATTATGGTTGATTTGTATACTGTTATCGTAGGGATTCATACTATTATTGCAGTGCTGCATATTATTATTACACATTCGATTGTGGTGGTGGTAATGACAGTGCGATAACCCACCGACACACTGTACTTGATGAAGACGAAGACGGAGATGATGATGGTGATGGTGATTTTCTCTCCTCTCATGCAAAGGTTTTTGAATTGGTTTTTCGGTGAAAATTCTGGTCGAATTACAAACTTTACAACCACCACCATAGACACCTTTAAGCTATAAGAAAGACCAAGCTCGCCTTTGAGATCTTCGAATTACAGAGGGAAAGAGGAAAGAATTAAAATAAAAAATAAAAAATAAAATAAAATACAATTTAAAGGGTTAATCAGTGAGAATTCCGATGGAGAAAGAGGAGAGAGAAGGGAAAAGTGGAGAGAGAGTACTTTTTACATATTAGTAACAAATGAATTACTGTCTAAGTATTTGCATGAAAGTAATGCCCCTTTGCATGGACCAAGGGAGCCCATACCTGATAGTAGTCTATCGCTAATCAGGAATTATGTGTGATGAGTTAGACAAATTTTAACTCAAAGGTTCAAAGTTTTCTAAACTCAAGGTACTCAGTTTTGAGTGTAATTTAATTAATCTGACCGGAAAATGAATTAGTGTACTCAAATAGAAAAAAAAAAAAAACTTCGAACTCAAACGGTGAAAAAGGTGATAAGAAAGAACCTAAATGTTGGCTTAACTCCTTACTTTGTCAAACTACTTTTCTTTAGTGTGGATAGCATCCCAACTCACATCTACTTACCAAAAGTGTTACAATTAATCTGAAATTACAATTAACAGCATAACATATTCAAATTGATTTCATGTTATAGATGAATTAAAAAGAATTAACTTTCCGAGAGAATAGTACGAAAGCAAGTTTCAGAGCAAAACTTTCTTGGACATGTATCTAATGGACACTTGAGAACAAGGCTCATTGGGACTAAGGCATTAAAGGGAATCAGATTACACTATCAAATTGCAAGGAAATCAACAGCCGGACAGAACTAAGTCGGAATCCATAGCAGGGAATTCACCTCTGTTTTTGGTACCTGTCAAGTACTTCAGATATTTTCTCAAGTAGCACAGACATAATAAGATTCTAAAATACTGAGATGCGGTTAAACTCCGAAACTATACACTGAAACCCAATACTGCCATGAGCAACTTGGAAGGACTCAACATGACAGGAATTCCTTTAACTACAGGACTATCAACAAAGTTCTAGTCTTAGTGGATCGACAATATTATATAGTACAGAGTATGTTGATTTTCCAACTCTTACCTGTTGTATGTATAAGCATTAAAAACCAAAAGGCTCAAAACCTCAATCTTATACTTGTGTCTTTTCCGCTACCACTTATATATTCTTAGAAACTTTTTTTTTCTTTCAATTCAGACAAAATTTTTTATACAGTAATGAAGATGGCCCAAGAAGACAGAAAATAGGGATAGATCTTCGCTCAGCCACACATTATACTATTGTACGCCTATTATCGCATTTACTCCAGCAGTTACACAGCTAACAGAAGTATTAGCTTCCCTTCTTCTACACAGCTAAAATGACAGTTAAGGGCTATTGTGAATTTGAGATAGTTGAGTATATTGTAATGTACGATAAGCCATATATCAGCAGCAGTAAAAGTACAAGGTGTGATAAGTGATAACCATCTCTTAGTTAAAATTTAGAATTTTCTATGAAATGTTTTCTGAACAAAACTAAAATTAAAATTAAAAAGCATGAACTTCCCAAGTTTACAAGATATCTATCATCTTTGTCAAACTAATGTTGCACAACAGGTAAGGACCAATTACTCCATGCAGTAATAATACGTTTGGATGGAACTTTCAGTTGCAGAATCACAAGGGCTTTTGGAATTTCCCATGAACCCAAACTCTTCTCATGCTCTTTCCTTTTTGCCGATTGACCGACTTCACACAACAATATTCTAGCTCTAGCTGCAAAACAGGTGAATAATTCTCTAGAAAATTAAAATCTGAAGTATAAGCAATGGTGGAACAAATAAGCTACAGCTTTATTATACAACTAAGTTCTCCAAAGCAAGAAATAAATTGTTGCATCTATCTTCAGCAAAATATTGAATGCTAAGTTTACAGATAAACTGTTTCTATCATTGAGAAAGAAAAATTTATACAATGAATCCAAAAGAAATTTTGCTACCTCATTGAAGCCAACACCAACAAAGAGATTCCTCGCACCATCCAGATCAAAGAAATAAGAGAGCGTTCCGTCAGAACGCATGTAATGCCTAAAACCCACTCTTTTATCTGGCTCAAACCTAAGCATGGTCATGTCATAAAGTCCTGCAAACCATCATCTATCATCAGCTATATCATGAACTTTAGAATAATAGTACATCTAACAAGCAAAATGAAGCCTAATTTCTTAAAGAAAGAACTTCAAAACAAGAAAAAAAAAAAAAAAAAAAAAAAAAGCAAGCAATTAAATATGGAAATCTTAAAAAGGAGTAATACCGTAATCCCTGAAGAAGAGCAGGCCACCTGGCTTTAAGACAGAAAAGCATTCCATGATTGCTGTTGCCATCCTCTCAGGTGGAATGGCAGATAATGTAAAAATCTAATCAACATACAATCAAACAATCATTGGAATTCCAAGAGGCACCATCTTACTCTTACAAGATTTTAAGACAACTAGGGAGGCTAAAGCGTGCGATGCGCGCATATTAGCCATATCCAGGAATCACTTTTAGTTTAGTTTTATGTCACAACTTTAGTTGTTGGTAACCTTAATAAGGGAAAATATATAAACAAAAAATTTTAGGGATATATATATATCCGCACATTTTTTTAAGAGTTTAATAGAAAAGTCAACTAAGGGTGTGTTCTATTCAACTGATTTTCACTTACTGAACTTATCTTAACTTATTAAAACTTATTTTAGTTGAAATTTGTACTTGGGTGACAATTATTAAAATTGATTTTTCATGAACTTATCTTATTTGAACTTAACTAAATTTATTTGAATTTAACTAAACTTATTAGACCTGAAATAAGTGAAAATAAAGTGAACAAAACAAGCCCTAATAATAATGAGGGCAAATAAGTAGATAAATATTTTAAAGGGTATAATTATCCAAATATAAAAAAAAAATAAAAAATAAAAAAAAAAAGCCAAAAAGCTATGCTAGTAAAAAATAAGGGGAAATAAATGTCACTCATGTGATTTTCAAGCATAACTGGGGGTACATATGTAATTAAACATTTTAAGGGATATAGTTGGTATAACACTATTCATAAGTGTTTAGTTAAACTTTTAAAAGGTAGGGATAAGAGCACAAATAATGAAACTTCAAACTAAGTATTCCCTTAAATTTATCATAGGAGCATGTAAATACAAGTCCAACATCAGAAAACATGAATTTTGACCAAATTTCCAAATGAAAGTTGGTTGGTTTACTTTCATTACCTAGACGGACATTATACCTAAAACATCTTCCACACACCAGATATATTGCCTGTACTGCATATCATATATGTCAATGTTCTAACCTTGGTTTGTTATTTACCATTTTTGCTATGAGACCTAACTGGAGGAACATTTTATTCAGCTTTTAGTATGGTAAAGGTTAGTGCACTAATCCCCAGAACAATTTTTAATTATGCCCTAACAATTAGCTTCCCTCACCTTCTAATGTTTTTCTGAGAGAGGCACTTAGTTTTGAACTCATGACATTGCTGCAACAAGCATAGATATCATGTACTTTCAAAAGCTCTTAAACTTGAAGATTAGCAATGGGTCGCATACATAATATGCCAGACATTTATAGTGTATTCTCTCATTTGAGAGAGAGAGAGAGAGAGAGAGAGAGATTGGGAAACGTTTGCATATCCCCTAGAAGAAACTTGGTTAAAAAAACATACCAATGTGACAAAGTCCACTCCACCAAGGCAACACCTACTATTTTGCACGGAAGGCAGATCAGTTAGTGTTCTGTCATTGTCATTGACTTCTGTAACATTAAAAAAAGCAACATAATGGACAACAGTTTATAGATAATATATAATATATGGGGAAAAAAACGTCATCAATTATTCTACCAGAATCACAATGTACCAACTTTTCTAATTGCTTGTTCCGACATGAATCACAAGCCAACCAATTTGGAAACGGAGTTGTAGAGAAATCACAGCAAAAAGGATGGAAACGCTCCATCACATGAATAATACCAGAACATTCTAAATTTTGCTTAGCTCTCTCAAGTGCCTCAACACTACAATCACAAGCATAAACACTGGTCCTCTCCTTTACTCTACAGAAGAAAAAAAAAAAAAAATACAAATAAGAGTTTAAGATAATTAAAGGGAGCAATATGCTGCAAAATTAAACCAAATCAAGACTTCAGCAGATCAGGAGGGACTGGACATCTTTATTTTCCACTAACTACAAGCCCTCTCATAAAAGAGTTGGGAACTTGGGATTGTACATGTATGGAAGGAGGCAACTTGGTAACATACTTAAGTTCATGCAAATGTATAGCATTGAAAAGGTCCTGAATAAAATTATCAAAATCTAGGAAGATGATTAGCTTTATTAATAGCAAAAGTGCAATAGAAGTCTAGATAATCTTCCCAATCTTCTCAGTCACCAGGCGGACATAACTTTTTGCTTGTTTAATGATAGTGAAATGGATCTCAAAAAATATTACTACAGTCTATGAATATCAGAGTGGTGTACTTTGACCTGCTGAGCATAAAATATATGAGGATTAAGATGGTTAAATTGATAGTAAACTTGAACAATTTGTAACTCAACTCTTATGGAGTACTTTCTATCTTTGGTGATTCCAAACTAATTACTTAAACACTTTGCAGAAAGCATCAACTGATATGCAAAATCATCGTCTCAGAATAGCAATTCATAAAAAATAATAGAATGATAAGTTTGGCTAAGTTAAAGAAAGTATTGTTTTTCAACAATAAAAATTTGCAGCATCAGGGTGGGGGGTTATGTTTTTGTTCTTGAAGAGCAAAGCACATAATGTGCAGCCTCAACCTTTTAAGCTTTATTCTGGAGGTCATTGTTGTAAATAAAGATTCATATCTTTCACCTCAAGCTGCTGCAATTTTGTTGTAAATAAGTAAATAATCGCAAAATATACAATCTTTCTTACTGGCATATATCTCCTAATAGAGTAAGTATTATATACTCCTGGATCATGGTACTCCATACCCAATACTTGAGCTATTTTGCCTAAACCTTATGTTATTTTGCTTAAATCTGGTGTTATTTTGCTAAAACAATATGTTATTTACTTATTTACTTCAACATGTATTAAAAACAGCATGCATGTATAAAATAACTTGTACTTATTTAAAAATAACATATATATAAATTAAAATAATAAGTTCACATCAAAATAACATGAATTTTATAAACCTAGAGTACAGTGTAATGATCATGTTGAAACAAAAAACAACATGCAAGTATAAAATAACACGTACTTATTTAAAAATAACATATATATATATATATATATATATATATATATATATATTGAAATAATAAGAAGTTCACATCAAAATAACATAAATTTTATAAACCTGGAGTACCTTGCAGGAGTAAGATAGAAATTGCGCTCCTAATATACTCTATTTAAGAAAGTTCAACTCACTATTCATTTAGAGGTGTTTTAGAAAGTTCAAGTCACCTTCAATTTATTCTAATTTGGCAACCACATATTATCTCCCCCCCCCCCTCCCCCTCCCCTCTCTTATAATTGAATATTCAACTGCTTTGTTCTTACTTTATCTACCTATTTACTCCATCTCTTTTACTTTATTCGATTTTCATTTTACACCCATTCATTTACTCCAATTTATCTTAGAAACAAGAGTCTAAAACGAATGGGGTATGTTAAAAGGTGAATGACAAAAAAGCTACCTACTTGCAATGTAATCTTCAGAGAGATGACAAGTATGCAATAGTAGAAAACATAACGAAAGGTCAACATTCTACATTCAAATTACAGAGTCTAATGGGAAGAATAGAAAAATACATTTTCTTGTATGAAAAGTAGAAAACAATAAACTACCAACTGCTGCACACTTAAACTAAGTTGCTTTATACCCCTTGTATTTCATGTTAGTAAATGTTTGAAAAGGTAATGCTTGTTAATTCAACATTTCCATGTAAAAGCTAGGCCTGCTAGGTTAAATGCCTGGTTACTATATGCTTCATTTGTATCTTAGCTTGATATGAGCACGAGAAGCTTAAGAGACTGGTGCCTTGGTGCAACAAAATGATGCAGAAACTCTTAGCAATGATCTCTACTTGGAAATTGAATAATAAACTAGGAAGTTGAACACACATCAAAGAGATATCTAAAGTGGGAGATATAATCAACAGAGAAGTATACTTCATGAAATCAAGAATCAAAGTTGCCAGCATGATTATGAAAGTTGGTGAAGATTATGAAAGTCATTACCGCAGTATTGGGAGAATTGTACTACCATTACCACATCCCACCTCCAGAACTTTGGAGTAGTCTTCACAAGAAAGTAGTTCGGGGAATTCCTTCAGCAAATACCTTCTTTCCTAAACGCACACAAGCATGTTCAGAATCATTATACCGTATAACCACAAAATTTGGCACAAATTACTCGTCAGAAATCATATAACACCCACTCACCCAACATAAAGTAATAGACAAGGATTACAAACAATACCATACAGACATATAGTCATATATAGACGACAAGAAAGAACTCAGTCAAACAATAAACAGTGATTCTCCAATCACATTAGAAAGAATCAATAATTACACATAAAATTTCATTTCAAACCCAATAAGAAATACAATACAACATCATGAACCCCTAATGTGCAGTTGCAATGAAAATCCTCTTGCATCATTATGTTCAATTGAAAGCAGCAAATTAAATGTCTATCCAAGTTTACTTTTTCTTAAACATTCCCTTTCATTCCTCTTTATCTACCCTTAGAAGTCAAAATCCACAACCCTCTACTATCTCCAGATCAATAGCCAACCCAAGTTTTTAAAATCTTGACACCCTTTACCAAAGCATTGGTCCAACCACACCCCCTCCCCAAAAGAAAGCCCCTCTCCCATTAACAATTAAGAATGTGTTTAGTATGAAGATTAAAGAATTCTCTTACTCAAGTTTAATTGATTCCTACCACTTGTTTACACTTCCTAACCCAATGGTAACACATCAAGCTACCCTCCCCAATCTGACTCCACTCATTTTTTTTTTCCATTCCATTCTGATACCAAACCATACATAAAAGTAATGACCATCATTACCCTTTCTATCTCCCATTTAACTCCATTCTATTCCATATTTTTGCAACAATACAGCTATAATGCACCCTAATCCTAAATACGAAACAAAATCCAATTCCAAAGGGGCATCAATTGATAAAAAATAAAAATGAAAAAAACCCTCAGAGCCGCATATAAGCATTATATACATTTCCTAAAATGGTATAAGTTTGGGAATTCATGACAAAATCACAAATTTTAATTCTTAATCTTTCCTTTTTAATATTCTCAAGTGCAAGAACAAAACCCAGAAAGGCAAACCCTTCAAAATCCAAATACAATACAATACAATAGAGAAAATCCCATGAAAAAGCAAAATTCACAAGTTTCAATCATAATTAATTGAATAAAAGAGAGTACCTTGAAGAATTTGCCAGTGGAGTGACGAGAGTGAAAGTGGGACCATGCTTGAGGATGCTGAGAAGACGGAGAAAGAGAGGGTTGAAAAGGAGAAAGATGGTAGGAGAGAGAAGGATGAGTCTCAACTTCAAGTTTGAGTTCCTCCCATTCGAAGTCTTTGGAATGATATTCATTTGCTGCTGCTGCTTTACTCATCTCTGTCGCTTGCTCTATTTTGCTCATTATGTGCCTTCAAATGCTGATTTCATTCAATTTTATTGAGAGATACTGAAAAATTTATGGAGTTTGCAAAATTGTCCAACTTTTTGTCAAGTTTTTGAGTGGTACCACTGCTACCTTTGTTTTTTTTTTAATTTTAGTCAACTATGAAGATCTATATATTACCTTTTGAAATATTCCGTACGATGTACAAGTAGATTGAGAAGAGAAATAAGTAAATTGTAAATTTGCAAGATATCACTTGCTACTCCGTATGATTTTGAACATTTTACAAAACTAAGTTACGTAGGTATTTATAGTTGGGTAATTGACTTTAGACTTGTTTGTTGTTGCGCGTCTTTATAGAATTATATTACTCCGTATAGTTTGACTCATGACACACATTGACATTGTGTTTTGGTGAGAAGGTCAAGTTATCGAGAATTGACTTTACTTTTTGACATATATTTGCGATAGTCAATCAATTCTATACGTTGTCCACAACCCGATGTTTCGAAAGAAAGAAACATATTCTTACTCACTGATGCTTATCACTTTAAGACTTGTTTGTTGTTGCGCGTTTTTATAGGAATTAAGTCGCCTCATATTTTAAAACACCTAAACAGATAAATTCACAAGAAACTTTCAAAACAACTAAAATTCAATGTCGAACCCACTTTGTGGCTACCTCAACTTGTTCGACCATCACAAGTCTCAATCGACTCTTGTCCTCGCTTTTAATTTGTTATTATTATCAATAGGCAAGACTGCCTACTCACATCTCATTTGTGTTGCCAATATATATTTTCATTAAGGTTTTAGGTAATAGTGATCTGCATGCTTTAGCTTGAGGTGGGTGTTGAGCCTTCTTATATTATCTTGAAGGCCTTGCCTATGGCCCATAAATTTTAAGCCAAAGTAAGGGAAAATTAGTTCTCGTCAATTTACTAATCGAGGTTTCATAGGCAACTCTTCCTTCGCGTGGTTCTCCATTATTGCTTGTTTGCGTCAATAACTTACCATTGACTAGCCCTTATCCACTTTGTTCAATAATAATAAGCTTATAAGCTGTAGGGCATGAGGCATCAGTTGCAGTTCAACTATGTATTGGAATTTGGTACGGGCACTTGCTAGAGTATACTTACAAAAATATGATGTGCATTACAAATCGTCCAGTCTCTCATAGCTTTTCAACTTGGACATTTTTTCCCTATTTCAAGTCCATTTTAATTTCTCACCCATCGTTGAAACTATCAGGATTTCTAATCAATCAACAAAAAAAAGAAGTGATGATATCTATTTTGATTTGTTGGTACTGAATTTAGGAAAGTAAGTTTTACACATCAGAACTTCTGGACTTGGACTATCTAAGTGCCAATGTGCCATCTCTAGTTGGGGGCCTTAGCCAAAGGTTGATGTTACCACCCTAACTAAAATTTAAGCAAGTATTTGTTTTGTATATGTAATATGACTTTTTCATGTACAGGGGAGTTTCTCCCTCTAGAGTCTAGACCCTAGAGTCTTTAGTCTTTACACACCCTCATTCCTTGCTTTCTTAGAAATGAAAGGCATGCACTCGCAGTGATGATGCAGAGATGCCTTCAGGCCATCTAGCTGCAGGGAATCACAGCTTTCAGCAAGCACGTCGGAAAAAGACATGCTAAACTGCAATCTGGGGGAAAGGAGGGGGGAGGAGGATATACAACAAATAAAATTGAGGCCATTCCAAGAGCCCAACAAAATCCTTTATTTCCAGAAAAAAGGATGTATGAGTTATGACAGTAATTTCGGAATATGAAGCAAATTCTCTTATTGCTAAAAAGGAGGGTAACCCTAAAAGAACATCAATAGTAAGTTGCATATGCACTCTGCTGCAATAACCTAAAACCTAAGAATTATCACCCACGTGCTGCAAGAACAAGCTTGACTAACAGGAAATTACATGGGACTTGCGATATCAATGATCCTTAACCATCTTGCTTCTCTGCCTCCTCATCATATTCATTTTCATCATCATCATCCTCCTCCTCATCTCCATCTGCATTATCATATATGCTAGGCAAGCTGAATTTGTTTAGTTCACTTCTTGAATCTTCTCTATCCGAGTAGTCAAGCCCAAACTTTGTGTCTCGATGCTTCACAAGGAGCCATCGTAATAGCCGATCTTCTTTGTTCAAGTAATGAAGCTCCTTGTTTATATTGGGAGTTGCCATCATGGTCATTTGCATCAGTTGTCCCTACATGTATAAAGCAAATATTTCACGTCCATAAATTTTATGAGTATCATCCTCATTCATGGGAAAACCAAATTATCTGCATATAGCACAGCTAGAGCACATATGAACATAGTGTGACTTCACAAAGAAAACATATCCAAACTGGATGACAATAGTGGACAGAGAAATCAATGCGTGAACATATACAGTCTATATTAGTCAGGAAGTATTTCAGAGAAAAACCGAAGAAACAGCAGGGTTGATACAACTTGAACTAGGGAAAGCAAATCACTTTGTTAAAGAAGAGCAATACAATCAGAAATCATGTTACTAAGATCTCGACCAGCACAACCAAAGAGACCAAACAAAAAAGGGAATATCTCAGCCAACTGAACTTAGTTAACCATCAAACTGGTACATAAACCAAAACTTCCCAAAAGTTCTACCTCAACCTAAACACCCCCAAAGCTCTACTTCCAACCTCAGTGTTTCTTAGTTTGGCGCCACACCCCCCCCCCCCCCACACCCCCTCATTTTCTTTAAACATCAATCCCACATCACAAGAGATGTTCATCATGGTTTGCCCAACTTTTAAGAAACAAAGATAGACAAAATTGAATATTTATACATTTAATAAAATTAATAGATATTGCTTTCGTTATCTTCACAAAAGCCTCACAAAGCCACCCTTTAGTTGAATTAAGGAGTATAACTGACCAGCTGTTAGTGGCTGCAAGGTCCAAGATACTACTGTTAATGTTCAAGGAAATCAACTTTGTATAGTCGAAAGGTCTCATAACTGTATGTAGCATCCAAATGGATCAATACTCCCAAGCTTCTCACAATGATGAGACAATAAGTCCATAACCTGAAAATAAGGGGCAAATTACCCTTACTCTTGAACCCTCTCTCTCTCTCTCTCTTTGTTCTTCATCTTGCCATGCCATACAGGCCATACATGTTTCTAAAAATTTCAATGATTCTTCATCTCAGTCTCTAACTCTCTATTGAGATTGACTTCACACATTTCTTTGCAGTGAAACTAACATAACTAATTGACTTGACACTATACCAATTACCAATACACATAATGCAGTGTTCCTGGCTGACACAACTTGTTAAAAAAAAAAAAGCAAGCATTATAAGCCCTCAAAAAATTTTGTTGGCCTTATGATGGAATTTATGGCATATACACATGTTAAAGTTCACTTTGAAGTTTGAAAAGAAAGTTATTCCTCATAACTGGTTTCGTTTACAAACCCAATCAATTTTGTTACTGGTTCTGATGTAAATTTAAGAGGATGAGGATGGATTTCCTAGGAGACTGCTAAAAATTAAACCTAGACTAGTTCTGTTCAGAGTGCAGAACATTATAGAGAAACTAGCCTCAGGTAATATCTACTAACCATGCTATCAAGCCTTATTCCATTGAGTCTATAATTTTGCAAAACCTTTGATAGAAGTTCTGAAAAGAATTTATCAATCATCATAGGCTGTGCTACAAGATACATCTTGATATGCATAATGAATTCATTTTAATGACAATATGGACATATCAAGAATCCACATATATTTATTCTAAGTTTCTATTTTCTAACTGTCAATATGACCTTAAATTAATGGGGTAAACTGCAAAATAGGCTGAGCAGCTTGATAGAGTCTTAAAAATGAATTACACTCCACTTTATCTCTCCAATTAAACTAAATTGACTAGGCTTGTTAGACCAAATGCATTTGAACTTGTCAAAATACTCGACTGTGCTTTATTGTACTCCTGAGCTTCTGGGCATCACCATCAAATTACATCTCTTGTGCCTCAATTGAACCGAAATACCAAAGTTTCTATGTCATTTGTTTTTTCTCGAGCTGCTGTGTTTTTCTCTTCTTCAGCCATATTTTCCAATTACCCTTAAACATCAACACATAGCTTCTAGCCTTCTAATAACCTTTCTCCTAGGCCCTTAACGCCACTTGCATGCTATATATTATTGTTAAATCATGCATCAAGGACACAAAAATGTGTTAGCTATAATGGAGAAGCTGAAGAATGAATGAGATGTTGTATGGACCGTATGGTAACATCATGCGAGCTTCTTCATATCTTATGTATGAAAGCTATAGAATGGATTGACTTTCAGAAGATTTAGAGCTGAGTCTCAGGCTCTTTTAGGGAGCATGTAGCATAAAGCCATTTCCTAATTTGGGAAGCTAGGGGGCACTTTTGAGGTCTCATAAATAGGCCTAAACACTAAAAATTGTAAACAATATAATCAAGAGGTTTTGGCTTGAATTCTGTTTTAACAACCCTTGATGTGACTTGTATTAAATTCAATGGTTGCGACTAGAAAGAGACCCTCAAACTAGCAAGTTTTGACTTCTTTTGAGATTTATTTATCCAACATGATAATTTTGCCTTTTACCAAAAGTACAAGGCAAAAAAACAATATACTTTTGCCTTCAGCATTCTTCAAGGTAATAAACATGATTATTGAACAGTATCTCCTAATGGACTTGACTCTCACTCATGATTTCATGAAGTTTGCCATAAAAGAGATCTTCTGTAGAATGACTTCCACCACCTACACCCTCCCCTCTTCCCCTCCCCTTTAAAAACTTAAAGAACAAGGAAAAAAACTCAAAAAATTGTACATGGACACATGACAAGAAATAAAAACAGGGAAAGAAAACCTGCCAAGAATTCTTCCCAAAAAGCGGCACATACGTTCTTCCTTTGATAAATGGATGGAGGAAGTGGCTAGGTCTTATTTGGACACAAGCAACCTAGAGTAGTACCCAAAATGAGTACCAACAAAATTCTTTATTGGTACCAAATTAACATAATGGCACCAATTAAGCCCCTCTTCTAACTAGTACCAATAAGAAGTGTATTGGTACTCTAAGTAGGGGTACCAAAACACAACCTTTGTACCAATAACACATCTATTGGTGCCACTTAAAGTGACTTGTGTCTAAAATGGAAACAGGCCTCTTTTGATTTAGAAAACCTCCTAAAGGACGCCTCTATGCAGTGGCAAGATGACAAACTAGTTTCCTCATTGAAAGCAACAAGGTTGTCACCCCCCCCCCCCCTCTCTTCATTCATTGACCTCCTTGGTTTGATCCTAATCTTTTTTTCTACTTCGTATTCTTTTGGGTGGTCTTTAATACACACTCCTCTACAAATTATATAACCTTTCATGCGAGATGCTAACATAGAAAATAGTATGCAAGCAATATACATGAAAGAGAAATATAGATACTTCCACCTTCATCTTCCTTGATATTCTAAGCATATACTCCCTCCATCCCATAATATAATGTCTATTCCTATTTTAATGGTCAAACTTTATAACCTTGACCAAAAATTCTCATTAATAAAAATAAGAAACATAGTCAATTAGTCATGTGAAATATCCTTAGATTTGTCTCAATGTATAGTTTTGATATATGAAATTTTCTTTTATATTTTTTGTTAATATACAATTAAAGATATTTATGATCAAAGGTACATCTTGAAGACCATGCAAAATGAAATAAACATTATATTATAGTATGGAGGGAGTACATTATTTCAAGGTCAACCAAATCGTCTAAACAAGACTTGGTAGATATCAACTCAAGGAACTTTTCACCTTTGATTCAATGACATATGCCAGAAGTTATACACCCAAAAGATTTACACAACCATCATAAACTAAATCACCAGATTAGCCCCCAACAAGTGATCTCAAAGCTGGGAATTGGGAATGTCTTCCAGCAGCAGATAAAGATCAAAATCTCCAGGCAATGTGATGACTTCAACAAACTAATACGTAAAATCATACCAACAATATTATATCGTAACAAAAACAGAAAGAAAACGAAGGATCTATATTATTACCTGAAAGTATCTTCCATCAAGCTTCTTAATACCATAACCCAGATGAACAGTTCCAAAGGACTTAATCTCGGTGAGCACGCCATTTCGAGCGTAAACGTGTTTCCCCACCCGAGCAATCAATTCCCTCAAGGAAGGATTCTTCACTTGAGGTTTCAGTAATAGCACACAGTCATAGAGTGGCATGTTTGATACACTTCTCCTACCCTAACTACTGAAATACCTCCAATCTGTACAAAAAGTACACAATAAAATCCTGAATCAATCGAAATCGAAACAAATTTTTAGTAATCAAACCAACAATTTCAATTAACAACATTTCACTTCAATATTCATATACATCAAAGTATCAAATCCTTACTCCATCGTCTCCCGAAATTGTAACATTTATAAACAACGTATGTATTGAAAATATATTCAATAACAATTATAAAAATTGCAATTTAACCTAAAATTTTAAGAACTTGAATTATAGTAATTCAATATATTTGCAATTACTAATTAGACAAACAAACAAGAAGATTAATTTAGTAATTTACCTTTAAGAAAATAGAAGTAGAGCTGTAAAGAACTCGGAGAATGGGAGAGCTCAGTCCTTCCGTTGCCGGTCAAATGTTGCCGCCGCCGCCGATTTGGTGAGAGAAGGGAAGTGCCGAAGTGTGTAGTGATGTTCTTTCGACTTAAGCGTTTATTTTCAGAAAAAAGTAGAAAGGAAAGTTACAAGTTACAACTATATACAGTAAGATGTCGTTTGGTTGAAAAAAAAAAATATGAAAATTGAAATTTCTAGAAATTAAAATTCTCATGTGTTACTTGGTTGACAAATTTAAGGAAAATAAAAAATTTGTTCTACTTTTCGTAAAACATAAACTTTCATATGTGGCTGACCAGTGTGGTCAGCCATTACGGGGGTTACTTTATTAGTATTATAAAGGTTACTAAGTCGGTCAGGGGTTACTCGATTCGGGGTTACTTGGTCGGTTAGGGGTTACTCGGTCGGTTAGGGATTACTCACTCGGTCGGGGGTTACTAAGTTGGTCAGGGGTCACTCGGTTAGGGGTTACTAAGTCGGTCAAGGGTTACTTGATCGATCAAGGGTTACTTGGTCGGTCATGGGTTACTCGATCGGTCAAAGGTTATTCGGTCAAGGGTTACTCGCGCACACAAAAGTTGCTGCTTGTTTCGGGGTTTTCTGATGTCCTGCGGGAGAGTTACAATTCCGAGACTGGAACCGGACGCCTGTACCTGCAAAACAAACAGATGCTCCGGATGATTGGAGATCCGCCTCCGACGGTCAAGTTAGTACTTGATTAAGGAGTAATTAATGCGGAAATTAAAGTGATTGGGTCTCTCTAGGTGAGAGAGTTTAATGTGTGTAATCTGCGTAATCTCCCTTAATGAGGATTAAGGGAGGTATTTATAACCTCGGGAAACGTGCCAATCTAGGTTTAGGTTAACCTTGGGCTGATTGGGCTTCCCTCGGAAGTTGGGCCTGGGTGGCCGACTTCTCCATTAGGCATGGAGTATGCCACGTGTCATGACATAATAGGTCCAAGGCGGACGAATAAGCGTGTGCCACGTGGCAAGCCCTGAGAGGTCCAACTGGGGAACACTTGGCAGGACCTGATTGGCCCACGTGGCGCATTCCGATTGGTGGGAGCAAAATCCCCTAATCACTGCTCATAAAATGAAGGAAGTTAATTACTCCTTCCGCCCCAATATATAATTCTTGTTAGTGTTTTTTCACAATATTATTTAAGAAATGGGGGGAAAAAGTGGATGAAGTACATTAAAAGTGAACAAAAGTTAGACAAAAGTACAAGGCAAGTGGATAATTTAAGGGGGAAAAAGTGAAAAGTACAATTATAGACAAAATTTAGAGAGAGAAAGTGAAAAAAGGTACAAGGTAAGTAGATAATTTAATGGGAAAAAAGTGAAAAGTACAATTATAGACAAAGTTAGAGACAGAAAGTGGAAAAAAGTATAAGACATGTGAATAATTTAAGGATAAATTAGGAAGTTCAATGAATAAAGTTAAAAAAAATGAGGGTATAATGGTTTTTACATACTATCCAAAAATAGAAATAAGAACAATATTTTGGATCTCCAAAATAGAAAAGCAGGAACTATAATATGAGACGAAGGGAGTATTAGGTAATTTCCAATTCTCATTGTTAACCAAACACAATTTAGTATTTCCTAGGAATTTTAATTACATGGGAATATTAATTTTCAAGGAATCTGTATTTCCCACATTCAACCAAACAAGCTCTAAGAGTCTAAGATATGTCATATTTTAGGGAGGGACCCCCATTGATGGTTTTGATAACGATATATGTTTATTTAGTTGAACTTAATTAGTAGTTTTGGTATAAATCAAATAGCGGTTTTGGTGCAAAACCGCTACTACAACGCTACTAACTCATAGGGATGAAACTAATATGGCTTAAAATCAAACCGAACTACAAACCAAACAGAATTAGTAATGCGATTTGGTTTTTTCTTTAATATGGTTTGGTGCGGTTTGAGAAATAAAAATTGCAGTTTGGTTTCGGTTTTAGGATTTGAAAAACCAAACCGAAATACAGGCCCATATCTAAATTATAACCCAAATTTGATTTTCAGCTCTACTATATAAGGCCAAACACAAGTTATGTTAATTTAGGACAAAAAAAAAATTACAAATCAACGCCAAAACTAGGCCGAAAAATTGCTATAAAACCAAATTAAAAACAGTGTAGTTTGATTTGGACCGAATAATAATATGGTGTGGTGCGGTTTGAAAATCCCAAACCTAATTAATATGGTTTGATTTCAGTTTAGACTATAAACCATACCGCAAACCAAACTTTCACCCATACTCACTCACCAAACACAATTTAGCATTTATTAGGAATTCTAATTACATATGAATATAAATTTTCAAGGAATTTGCATTTTCCACGTCAACCAACCAAACAAGCCCTAAGATATGTCATATTTTAGGGAGGGAGCCCCATTGATGTTTTTTATAAACGATTAATGTTTATTTAGTTGAAGTAGCAATTTTTCCCTCAAGCAGTGGTTTTGGTATAAATCAAGTAGCGGCTTTGGTGCAAAACAGCTACTACAGCACTACTCACTCGTAAACAGTAAAAAAAAATGTACTTATTTACTATATTGCCACTTGATAAACAATTGTTGTTTATCATGAAAATCAACTTGGGATTTTTATCCAAAGTAAGCTTTAGTACAAAACTATTTTGTAAAGTAGACTCGTGGCCAAACTATTTACCAAACTAAGTTTTTAGGGTAAAATGTTGTCTCGGACAGGGTTTTATACCCTGGTTTTTTTTTAAAAAAAAAAAATCAACGTGTACATGTTGACTTTTTTTTTTTTTTAAATTTCGTAATTTTTGATTTTAAAATTAAAAATAAAAAATAAAAAAAAATTTACACTAAAAACGCTGACTATATTTTTTTTAAAATTCTTATTTTCTTATCTTGAGACCACTGCTTCCCTCAAATCTTGATTGTGGGGGGTCTCTATCAAGATATCAGAGTTTTTGATGAAGGTACGAACCTTCAAAGAAGAGTGTGTGTGGGAGTGATACAGATACAGCTCCTTTCGTTTTGATAACTTGGCCATATCTTCTCGAGAAATTTTCATTCGCATGTTTGGTTTTCTTTTATTGACAAAGGTAGCTTTCCCTATCTGTTGTACTCTGTGATGTGGGTTGTTTGAACTCGGCTCCTGCACATTATCGAGCTCCATACTCTCTTTGGTTCCTTCTCCCAGCAACTCTTCTTCATTACCACAACTTCTAGATGAGCTTCCAAACCTTTTATTAACTTTGTTAGTAAGTTCCAAGGCTTGAGGCTTGGTGTTCAATTGCTTCCCTTCTACTTGATTACCATGATCTTCAGCATCGAATTTTTTCTCAGTTGAAGTGATACTCATCAAAGTTGATAACTCCTTTTCTATTTCTTTATTTTTTTGGTTCTAATGACCTTGCCTTCTCTAAACCTTCATAAGCCTTATCAAACTTCCTTGATTTCACTAAAGCCTTGCCTTGACATTTCTCTTACCAATTCCGAACACCATAGAGCAGTAGACAATGGCTATATTAAAGTCATGAAGTTTTATCGCACAAGCAACAACATTCAAATGCAGAGCTATCACTAACTCCTTGAGTAATGGGTTGAAATCAGAAATTAAGAATATTTAAAAAAAATATATATTTACACTAAAAACGCTGACTCAGTCAGCGTTTTTAGTGTAAATTTTTTTATTTTTTATTTTAAAATAAAAAATTACGAAATTTAAAAAAAAAAAGTCAACGTGTAAAACGTTGTCTGAGACAGCGTTTTACACATTGATTTTTTTTTTTAAAACCAGGGTATAAAATGTTGTCCGAGACAGCGTTTAGAAGCTTAGTTTGGTAAATAGTTTGGCCACGAGTCTACTTTACAAAATAGTTTTGTAATAAAGCTTACTTTGGAAAAAAATCCATCAACTTGTATATTCCCTATTTCAGGTTCTATTTCGCAAAGAAAATACCGAGTATCACTAGTAAAGTTTATTAATGTGAGAAATAAAATTAAATCAAAAGAAGATTGAGTCGTGAATTAAACCTATAATTGCAAATTCTATATTTTTATGTAACAACCTAGGGCATTGCCTGACTCAAATACTAGTTTTATAATAATTAAAATATATGAAAATAATTGATTCAATGTACATTTTCAAAACATCATTTTTGTAAAATCTAACCTAATGTAATTATGTAGGTATAAAATTACATCTGTTAAAGTTGTGCATTTAAAATGCAAAAATCAAAATAGTGCATGTATTGTGAAACAAAACAAAACAAAAAAAAAAAAAATTGCACTATTACATAGCACACCATCTAAAAAGAGTATCTATGTTGAACACTTATTACTCGTCAAAAAAAAAAATGTTGAACACTTATTAGATATGAATGCTTCTTACACACGCAAATATATGAGTTCAACACATGAAATCAACTCTGATCATTTTCTGAAATTATTAGTTGACACGACCTAAGTATACGACGGTCACATTTGACATTTTTTCATTATTAACTCTTATTCATATTTTTGTTTGCTCATGACATAAGGGGTGCCCCACTGCCACCGCGTCATGGCCAATGTTTAATGTTTAACTACCTTTTATATTACTCCCTATTTTGTATGGATCATAAATTTATACTCAAATTTTTTTTTTGAATGGAATTTATACTCCTACTTCACTTGTGATACTTCTCTTGGGTGTGTATGTGCAGAGAGCCGTAAGGGCATGTAGACGGGATTTGTCCACAACCTGTAATAGTATCACCCGTCAACAGTTTAACCAACTAAGCTACTTAATTGTCCACAACCTGTAATAGATTACTAGCTCCAAATCAATCCAATTTCTTGACAAGTCATTAGAATTATTCGATCACAGAGAGTTTTCTGCTGGCATTTCATTAATCATAATCTCCATATTTATACAAGACAAGAGGGAATCCGAATCCTAATTATTCAGAGGATCTGGCTATAATAATTCATAATAACATAAGAAATATGCTAAACATAACATACAAAAACAGCACTAAGGCAACTTCCCTAAGATAACATTACAGATTTATCCTAAATTTCTCAATAAAAATGCATGGCATTTGCTGTATTTTTATAAAAAATAATTGCTATAAATTATTGTCTTATACTCTT